TAAAACCAAATTACCTGAATGGAGGCCCAACCATCCAAGCCCAAGAGAAAAGGAGTCCATTCCGCTTAAAACAAGACCCAACATACGGAGTCCGATAATTATTAATTTAAATTGGAGTTTAGAGCCCGATAATAAAGATAAATTTAATTAATAATCAATTTAAAATTTAATGAAAAAAAAATCTCCTGATCCGAGACTAACTAACCTGGGGGACTCGGGGCGTTACAGACATGTGACGCCCGAGAGGAGGGGTACATGAATGAACCGATACCACATCCGAATGAGAGGGATCCTGAGATTATTGAAGAATGGTCAATAAAGGGTTAAAAAGAATTGATAGTCACTACCTATACCAACAAGGTGCACCTTCCTTTTCGGTGGCTCAATTGTAAGAACTCCAAAGTTAAGCGTGCTTGGCTTGGAGCAATCTTAGGTTGGGTGACTCTTAGTTGCTTTACCAGGAAGCATGTGAGTGAGGACAAAGTGTTGGTCTGTAAGGGCAGTAGTATGAAGATATACAAGAGTCTGATACCCAACAAGACTCTCAGAATTTGACCTCACCAAGAAGTTCTCCTTAAACTCCTACGAGATCGCCAGTTGAAGCTACTTCAAATCAAGAAAGCTCTAAATTTCTCCTAAGAAGAATGTGTTCTTTGCAAGATATTTATGCTCAGAAGTTTGGATCAAAGCTATGGATGAAGAAATGGCAAGCATCGAAAGAAATAAGACATGGAGCTTCAAGACTTGCCAACAGGAAAAGAAGCGATAGCATCCCAGCTACAATTGGATGTGTTTCAACTGGATGTCAAATCTGCTTTTTTAAATGGCCAGTTGGAAGAAGAAATATATGTAGAGCGGCCTCAAAGATATATTGTTCGTGGAAAGGAGGAGAAAGTTTATCGACTCTATAATGCCCTTGTACGGATTAAAGCAAGTGCCTCATGCATGGAACAGCAAAATCGACGAATATTTCTGCCATAATGGATTTCAAAAAAGCCCCATTGAACCATCTCTCTATGTGAAGAATGAAGGTACAAATTTCCTTGATGTTTGCTTATATGTTGATGATCTAATCTATTTTGAGACTAACTCATAAATGTTGGAAGAATTTAAACAAAGTATGATGAAGAATTTTGAAATGACTGATTTGGGTCTCATGAGATATTTTCTTGGAATTCAAGTAAAGCAACATCAAAGTGAGATTTTTCTTTCTCAAGAAAAATATATCGATAATTTACTCAAGGAACTTCACATGAGAAATTGCAAGCCTGCTACGACTCCTACGGCACCCAATGAGAAGTTATATTGTGAAGATAAATCTAGTAAAGCAGATCCACAGACTTTTTGAAATCTGGTTGGTTCGTTAATCTATCTTACTAATACCAGGCCAGATATTATACATTCTGTAAGCATTATTTCAAGGTAGATGAATGATCCAAGCAAATATCACTATGCTGCTGCAAAAAGAGTTTTGAGATATTTACAGGGTTCCAAAAGTCATGGGCTCAAGTATGTAAGGGAGAAAGATTTCAAGCTCGTTCACTACACCGATAGTGATTAGGCAAGTTCTCTTGATGATCAAAAGAGCACTTCAGGATATGTGTTTTGTTTAGGATCTAATACAATATCTCGGAGTTCGAAAAAGCAACAAAATGTATCTTTGTCTTTTGCTGAAGCATAATAGCCGCAACTGAAGACGCTTGTGAAGCCGTTTGGCTAAGGAGAATCCTAAAAGATATTCAGACGGAGTAGGTCATGCCGACAAAAATCTTCTGCTATAATATGTCAGCAATTGCAATGACCAAAAATCTTGTCTTTCATGCTCGGTCCAAGCATATTGAGCTACGTCATCACTATATCAGAGATTTGGTAAACAAATAAGAAATATTTTAGGAATTCATCAACACTAATGATCAACTCGCAGATATGTTCACCGAAGCTGTTATGATAGAGAAGTTCAAGAAGTTTTTGAAAATTACAAATTAAAAGGGGGTGTTGAAAAATAGTAATTTGTAATTTTTAAATATGCCTAGACGCTTCTAGAGTTATCCACACAAAATAGTTATCTATAAATTTATCTAAAAGTTTGTAAATAAAATACTTTAGAATCATCCCGCATTTTTCCTAGATTCCAATGAATTCTAGAGAATTCTTTTAGATAAGAATAGATTAATATGTATCTAGAGATCTCCCTAACTCTCTAGAATTCTCCATAGAGTTCTCTCAAACACCTATAAATAGAGGTGTTAACTCCCCTTGTATGTAATAAAGAAAAACCAAAACTTAAATTAAGAAAAATGCCAAGCACAATATTAGAAGTTTCTCTCCATATTTGTCTCTCCATTCTAAATCCTTCTCCTACTTTCTTTGATTGCCTCCAACACATATCTCTTTCTCTTCGTCAAATCTCCCTCTTCGTAGAAGAGCTTCAATCCTCAAACACCTCCTGATGTGCATCAAGGAAGACTTAACAATATTACTTAGCTAAGAGACCAATCACAAGGTTGCAAAATTACTCGCCATGAACAAGCCAAAGTTCAAGACTTGCTTCTTATGTTTAAGTTAGAGCTTAACAAAGAAGAAAGAGGATCTCTGCTACAACATGTGAAACATTATTCAAGATTCAGGAGGAAAAGTGGAGAAAGAAGCTTCAAGAAACTTGAAATGTACTCCAAAAGTGAGAGCTGCTTTTTAGAGGTTATTTAGGGTTAAACTCTCAGGAGCGTAATTTCCATGGAATTCATGGTAGCACCTCATTTTGGGCTTCATTTGTAATTTTATCCAATACCTCTTATGCCCAAGTTTGGAATTGTAAACTGTTATTAGCCGATTAGTTGAAAGTTCCCACAGTCTTGTAACTGGAACTCTTTTATAAGGTTTAGGGACTCGGGGTTTTACTTATGTTTATCTTTCCCTTTTTTTTGTACCTCCCTTAGTTGGCTTGCCCAAGATTGCCTAAATATTTGTTTTAGCGGTGAAAGTTCTGTCCTGTACGTGCCTGTGATGAAATATGTTTTTAACTAAATCTTTAAAGAGTGAAGCAAACACATAAAAGTTTGAAATATACAATGTTAGAGAAAAGAATAAATTATCAGGAGGGAAAATGATAGAGTGAGCAAATAGTAGAGAGAGACATGTTAGAAGAAAAAAATACAAGCACTGAGAGAGAACATTTTTAGAGAACACCTAAAATTTTAGAGTGAGAAAAGTAAGAC